TCTCTACTTGCCACAAACTTTTTCAATGGAGAATCATTTCATAAATGGCAAATATTGGAAGATGAAGATATAGCACGTAGGATAATTGTGCAAAACTCCAGTAGCCTGAAGCTCAAATAATGCATTTGTCCATATGATTTTATGAAAAATGTATTGGGGAGTCTTGCTTTTCAGTGTGTGTGTGTGTGTGTGTGTGTGTGTGTGTTTGTGTGTGTGTGTGTGTGTGTGTGTGAAAGAGAAAAAATAATTCCATACTCATCATGTAGTTTTGAGCACTTTGTACCACAAACATTTCATTAAAAACAATGCTCACATCATAAATGGAACTCCTTCTTTCTTCCCCATGTTTGCCTCTGAGCACTTCTGGCCTGAAAGCATCTGACAGGAATCACAAATAAGTATATGAAGAAAATAGGAAAAATGCCTTACAGGCAATCTTTCACATTTGGTTTATTTCCCACCATTATCTCACTACCAGAACTTGCTATTGTTATTAGACGGCTTTCCTTAGTGCATTCCCTTGGGTGACAGGCTTCCCATCTCCGACTGAGCAAACCTGAAATATGAATATGGTCAGAGATGTGGGTCTGTCTGTTGGTCACCAATATAGTTTGTTTATTCATTTGTTTATTTTTCAAATTTATACACTGCTGAACAGAGAAACAGGGCTCTCTAGGCAGTGATCAACATTTGAAAAAATACTGAGAGTATAATTATAAGCATGGGGAAGGGGAACAATAGAAATCTGGTTGGTAGGAGACTGAGCTCCTATAATCAGGTGGTAAAATCACAAAGTTCCAAGACCATGAAAGATGGACATTTGAAACTTGGTGTACATATTAAGGCAAACTTAATGGTGAACACCTCAAGGTTGCTTTGTTTTTATGAGAATTACCTTTATTTAATTGTGTCCAGTGGGTCGGTTTGGTTGAACTCTCAGTACCTCTTCAGCCACTACCAGCAGACTTCCTTGGCCAAGGTATATAGTTTTGCAGCCCATTTAGCTTGAAGCCAGGGATGACTGATAGGCCAAGGGACAAAATCATGTGCTTCCCTCTGTCAGCATCTGGACTGCTTTGGTGGCCAGAACCAGAACTAGCACCACTGTATTTGCAGGATCAGTCTCAAACTCCACCAGCACTCTCATTCTATTGATGAGAGCCAGCTGGGAGTCCTGGGGCAGGAGCTTTGTAAGACCAAGCTCTTCCCTCCAGAACTGGCCTCAGCAGCACAGGTCTTCCTGTGGCTGCACGTTGCCTGTTCCTGCATCTACCCTGTCTCCTGCCTTACTGTTTTGCTTCAGCAGCACATCTCCCGTGCCTGCACAGGTGCCTGCATCCTGCCTGACCTTGCCTGTTCCTGGTTCCAGCTGGGTATCTTGCCAAGTCTCCTAGATCTTGCTATGTTTCCTGCCTTGCCATGTGGCCTCAGCAACACAGGTCCCTCTGCTTGCTGCTGTGCCTGCCCCTTGCCTGACCGTTCCTGCTCCTGGTTGCTACTGTGTTCTCTGCCTGTCCACACTGTGCCTGTCTTTTGCCTGCCCTATAACCTGCCTTGCCGTGCTACCTCAGTAATGCAGGCCTTCCTGCAAGCTGTGGTTCAGCTCCTGCCTCTTATCTGACCTTTGCTGCATCTGGTTCCTGTCATCTCATGCATCCTGTCATGCTCTTTATCCAATCCTGTCATAGGCACCTGCACCTCTGTCCTCCTGGTTCCTGATCCTTGGCTTCTTCTTGACAATGTCCTTGTTCTGCTCTCATGAAGTCCTCTGGTTCCTGACCTTGGCCTGTACCATGCCTATGATTTGGACTTTCCATGAAAACCTGCTTTTGAGCTGTTTTTTCCTGAAGTTCTTGGTCCTGGTGCCTCTGTTGCTCTTGTCTTGCCTTGTCTCTGGCTGCGGGCCCTGGTGCGGAGGTCCTCCTGAGTCCATTGTTCAGAGAACTGCAGTGGTGCTCTTAGAAGGGGCTGTGCCGAGGGGTGCCAATGCTCATGGATTCACTCAGAGGGCATGTGTCCAGTGGACAGCTGCACTGGCTTAGTAAACCATCCACTGCATCACCTATATGCTGTGTGAGGGAAGTCCCTTCTTCACACAGCGTATGGTTGAACTATGGAATTTGCTGCCACCAGAAGTGGTGATGGCCACCCAACTGGATGGCTGGCTTTAGCAAGGGACTGGACAGCTTCATGAGGGAGGAGGCTAGAAGTGGCTACTAGCAGTGTTGGCGACATGCCATCTCCTCTCCTTTAGCAGATGTGGCCTGCCTGCATACGCCAGTTGCTGAGGAGCTTGGGCATCAGGTCTTGCATTCATTCTGCTTGAGGGATCCTGTGGGCTGCTGGTTTGCCACTATGAGTATGAAGTGCTGGACCAGATGGACCTTTGATGCAGCATGGCTATATAGTAGACCTGGGGACTGAGTTATATACCTCCCTGTGGATAAATGAAGCCCTTGGGGCTATAGGGAAGTGCCTGAAGCTATCCATAGGTATGGTTTCCCTAAACCAGGGCAGCCATCAAGTGTCCAACTCAGATGGCTATGTGAATTTGCTCACAGACTTTGCTGTATCCTGGTAAACCCACTCATGGGAATTGCTTGCCAGTCTGCTTTCTCGTGTTTAATAATGAATCCACCCTGAAAGAAATTCCTGGCAGGATTTGCAGTTTCAATGAGACAAAAATATGACAGTCCCTATTGAACAATGCTAAGGCTGAAGGGCTTTGGTTTACATTTCAGCAAACATCATTTGGCAACAAGGGCAGTTGGCTTTTCTAATTTCTGATGCTTTGATTTAGTATTCAAATTCTTTCCTTATACTGCATTGTGTAACACAGGCGTATTATTTAGGCCTAAATGTTAAATTCCCTTCCTGAGAATAATGTCTAAATCCCATTAAAATCAACTGCCCACTAGGTGAAATTATGCACTGCTATTATAAGAAGGAATATGCCCTTTCAGCTTCCGGTAATGTGTTTTGCAGTGTCTGAAAGCCCATCAGAAGTAAAATGCTTTGTATTTCTGCTGGGTTAATTCACATTATTTCTAGCCACAGTGAAATACATCCTTTCACATAAGCTGTTTAAATACATTATTTTAAAGCAAGCATCTGCAGTTATGAATTAAGCTACTGTTTGGACTTGCAGCATCCTTCTCAGTCTCCCATACACACACAATTGAATTAGCTATTTTGATACCTTGCAGTTTGGTGCTCTTTCTGATACTATTCCACTGTTGACTTAGTGTCAAAGCACTAGACTTTATTTCTAGAACAAGAGTAGGTGCCTTGTTGCTCTACAAATGTTTTCAACAACTCATATTCCCTGACAATGGGCCATGCTGGCTGAGCTGCACGGCAGCTGTAGTCCACAATATCTGGAGAATACCAGATTGCATGTGTCCTCGAGTGGAAATAGCAGCATCCTACTGCTTGTATCTGCCACATTCTGGACCATTTCTGCAAATGTATGCCAAGCCATGACACCGCCTATGAAGTGCTGGAGCCAAGAATGCTAAAAGTAACCGTCTAGCTGCTTCGCAGAATAGAAGCACCACAGGGGCAGCCTTTTCCTTTGCACTGTATAGGATAGCTATAGTTTTCCAAGTTCAGAGGATGACAGACAGCCTCGCTGGACTGCTGTCGTGCCTGAAGCCCCAACAGAGCCAGCACCTCACGAGGAGGCAACCTAACTTGGGGGTGGCTGAGCAGATAGCTGCACCTCCCACTGACTCCCTGCCCATTGAGCAAACACCCGAGCCCACATCAAAGCAAGAGAGCCCCTAGGGAAAAGACACTACGAGTTCTACTCAGAAGGAGTCAGAGCAGGCTGTCCCTCCTCCTACTGATGCTGAACTTCCTGAATATGACACAGGAGATGCAGGGGGCGTAATAGACTTTTCTCTAGCAACCAATCGTAGAATTCTGAGAAGATATGAGCAAAGGCAGGCCCTGTTATGCAAGAGGGAAGAAAGGCGTGACCAGGAGGGCTAGTCCCATGTGGGCTCGGGGAGAGACACCATTAGAGGATTAACATCTGCATTCCAAAGACCTCAACAGAAGAGCTTATCTGTAGAGTTGCAAATCTTGTAGACAAGTAGCAATAAAGGACTTTAGTGTGGGTTGTTTACATGTTGAGCAGTACCTCAACAACTGCATCCTAACCGGGTCATCCCAGTGGGCATCTTTCTGTCAATTTCCTGTGCCATGTAACCTTTTCCAAATTTCCCCCTTTATGTTCAAATGTTATTTCTGAGAATTAGCTTTTTTAAAAAAAATCAAATGAAGAAAGCCTCTCTCTCTCTCTCTCTCTCTCTCTCTCTCTCTCTCTCTCTCTCTCTCTCTCTCTCTCTCTCACACACACACACACACACACACACACACACAAAAGCTGTCATGATTGAAATAAGTAAACAAGTTTCAAAGTGCTCTAGGCAAACCAGGTTATCAAAGATCTTTTGAAAAAGGTTCTTGAAACAGGCTGTAGTGAGATTTCTTAGAAAGCCCCAAAGCAATAGGCCCCAGAAGGAGAAAAAACAATGCTCACTGATTCTCTCAGCATGAACATTGCAGGTCAAAGCTGAAATTTCTACCAAGTAGTGGTAACAATAGAATGATTGCCTGCAGGCTTCACAGACACATACCAATACACAAATCCACAGACAGGTTTTATTCAAGAAGTTTGAGCTATTCCACATTTACTTTTTAATAAATTTTGACCTGGGAGCCAGCCCTGGTAGGGCCTTTAAGATCACAGTGTATGTGCTCAGAACTAAACTGCTACCTTGTACACAGTGACAAAAGGATTAATTAGTCTTGAAGAATGTATTTCTAATCCACCTGCCTAATCACAGAAATACCAGGGATCAGTGGCCTGGAGGAAAAAACATTTACAAAGATATCCTTCTCAGGAGGTAATTTTTGAGTTGTCATGAACAAGTAGGAGACTACAAGGTGGGGGAGAGGGCATTAGAAAAACATGAAAGGATGGACATTATACATAAGAAAGAAAATGTTTATTGAACACAAGTATTTACACTATTAAGTATCCTGACACGTCTTACAATGCACAAGTCGTCTTACATGCCCTAACATTTTTGTTCTAGTCTGTAGGGAGCAATAGCTGATAGCTTGTGAACCTGATTCAAGGTCAGAAGGGAAAGCTGTAGAGTTACACCCACCCATGAGAAGCCAGTGGCCTGAGAACTAACCTTCACTTGGCTTTTCACTAGCTCATCAGCCAGGAGAAGACGAGATGCAAGCTAATGATATGGTCCATCCTCCTTGATGGGGGCCCATGCTTCTCAACCAGGGATGTCTTCTATGGGAGCAGAGTGGCAGTATCATCAGCAGGAGGTCTCTACAGGAGAGCATGTTTTGGACTTGGCTCCTCAGGTGTGTCATGAATTACAGGAGGCACAGCAGAGGCATCTGATGAGGGACAACTTTCCTACTGAAGGGTTAATCATTAGCAGTTGTTTGTATTTAAACCAGAACAACCTGCAAAAGATCTTGCTGGAAGCAATGTACTGGCAACCTGGAAAGTGTAGTATCACCAGAGCCATGAACTTATTTGGACCTTCCCAATATGCTGAGCCCAGGAATGCTTATGTCTTTTGTTGTCCAGCTCATTAACTGATTCTTGTCAAGGAAATACATTGTACTATATTAATTACGGATCCTTATGGGGACTATAAAGGCTTACAGCTAATTACCAGCATTACTGCAATAAAAGGTTTTACTGAGATTTCTGCCCTGGCTCTGGGAAATCAGGTTGTAATGTAACTGAACTGAGCTTACTCAGTACAATGAATACAGCTCTAAAAATTATTGTATCAAGAAGATTCTTGATTTCTATCATAATTTAAGGGTGCATGTACATAAAACATTTATAACTCTGTAAATACTGGATTAGTTTTGTTGTGTTGAATCAAATTCTAAGATGATTAGAAAGTCAATGCCACAAAGCAAACAAATATTTGGAAACAGGCTTTTCAGAGTGGATTCCAACAATACATCTCAGGCATTACAATCTTACACCAGTGATCCTGTGGTGTACATGGCAGCCCCGCCACATTTGTGCAGCTCCATACAACTTCTTCAGTGTTCAGGAATTTTGCATTTTCCTGAGAACTAATCAGGTGCATGGGGAATGTTCAACAAACAATAAAGCCAAGTTTGTTTGCATGGAGTTTGGGATTGTGGTCCTTGACTGATTCCAAATCACGGTCATACATGAAATTAACTCAATCTCATTGCAAACTCTTGATCCCACTGATTAAGTATTTACCTAAGTGATCACTTGCCTCACTATGTTGTCACAAGCAGCTGCCTTCAGAATTAGTGCCAGTCATATGCAAGCAGCTAGGCCCACAGAATTTGAGAAAGCAATTATCTTCGTTTTGCAGATGAGGTAATAGGCTCTGATGAGATTCTACCCTCATAATAATTAACAAAGCACATGTATCAGTAGGTTTACAGTTAAAACCTTCTGTAGATCAGAATGACGACAAATACAGAAAAGAAGTCCAAGAACTGGAAAAGACCACAGAAAGAATAATATATTCTTATTATCCTCCAGAAACTATATGAACAACCCTCCAGAGAAATTTGGCTCTGTGTACAATATTAAACATTTTGATGCAGTTTGGAATGCATTATTGATGAAAGCACTGAATGATTTTTAATATGATGCAATCCTTGGCCATTGGATGAAAGCTTATGCAGTAAAAGTCTAGCATACAGTATGCATATTTCTGAAATGTTCCACTGGACTGAAGGTATACAGAGCCAACCCTGGGTAATTTGTTTCACTCTGGAAGCCAATTACTATAGTGACTTACTAGCCTGAAAGTCCCCATCTCTAAACTGACACCCAAATCAGATTATGCAAAAGAGAAAAGCAGATCAGCAGGAGTGTAATCCAAGACCAAATTTAGCTTCCTAGATCACGTGCAACATGATCTTGTAAGCAGATGCAGTTAAAACTACTATCGGACAGAGACCTTAGTAAAAGGTATTTGGTAGTAATTTGTTTCTTATTTAATCTTCCCCATTTTCTATGGCCAGAATGAGATTCTAGTGCATGAGTTTATAATGCATGATCTGAAGTATTTCTATGAATGGAGCTCATGTATTTAGCCCTTCATCTTCAATACACAAATAGAAACAAAACTGAAAGTGCAGTGTTGTGCAGTCCAAGACCACCCACACATGGATCTATGGCTCTGCAACAGATAAAACCACATTCTGTACCATACAGAGGGAAATGCTGCACACTTAGAACTGCAGCAGGACCCAATGATGCAATACCGATCAAAAGAAGACCTGAAAGGTGATGGTTTTAAAAATGTGTCTGTTTCAGCAGGCTACAATGTGGAACTTACAGACTTCTCTCACCCTGGACTGAAAGACTCATAGCAGAAGAATGGTCTAGAAGATTCACAACACTCTCAACTCAACTGAGCACCCCTTGCTTCATTAGTAACAAAAAGGGTTCTGCACTCATTTCTGAAAGCCACATTAGAGTATACTCAATTACTCTGGTAATATTTGGGGAGTTGACAGTTCAGACCTTTGGAACAGTGGATAGTACACAACCAAATTCTGAAGAAATGAAAAACATTTTCCAAGAATGTACATGAATTTTCCACAGGGCAACTGGATATGTCAAAACCTGCTGAAGTCTTGTCTCAAATCTGAGCATTTGCACATCTAATAGAAAACCACACCCTTTATAAAGCTATCTCCATTTACAAAAAATTACAAAGCATTATAATTCATGACTTCCAAGTGGCTAGATGTATCTTCAGACATCTTCAGCAATTGTAGTATCAAAAATCTGATAGCAAAGTTGTTCTTCTAATCTATCCTTGACGTAATAAGATTTGATGAAGCATTCCAGCCATGGCAATTCATCTGCAAATCAAAAAGCAAATTATCGTATTTAATGTGGATTTATATATTCCATACTTCGCTACAAGCATAACTGTATTTATCTGCATATATACATACATAATCCATCTGCTAGCCATCTTTCCAAACAATAGTGTTCTACAGCAGTGAAGAAGGCCGACACCTTAAACATTCAAAACAGCAGCAGCAGAATAAGAAACAACAGCAATGTTAAGTTCCAATGCAATACTTTTCTGAAGTACTTTTTGACATCAAATACCATGAGAAATCCCACAGGATGGGAATTACCATTGTGAAGGCTCTGACTCTACTGCCTGCTGTTGAGCAAGTGACCAAAACTGATCTCACAGCTGGCAGATTCACCTGAGTGTGGGCAATCCTTCAAATAACCTCAAAGACTCAACCCATTTAGGAGTATAAAGGTCAAAAGGAGCACTTTGAATTGTACCTGGAAATGCATTGTCAATGAACGCAGCTGGTTCTAAATTGTCGTATCAGAATCTCGCTGTCCAACCCCAGAAAGAATTTGCTTGTGCCATACTGAATCAACTGGGCATTTATGATTCACTTTCAAAGGATGCCCCCAAATGAGCACATTCCAGTAAGCCAGTCTGGATGTAACTAGGCATGCCGAGCTGACACCCACTTTCTCTAGATAGATTTAGAGCATAGCAACCAAAGACACAGAAAGCATTACTGGCTACTACCACTACCTGTGCTTCCAACAGACCACAATAATTCCACAAGGACCTGCTGAACAATGATATCTGGTTTCTCCAGGGAAACTGCAGCTCTGTCCAATAGCAGTTGCATCCCTCTGTCCTGATCAGTTGATTTCCCTACCCAAAATACTTCCATTTCCAGATGGAAATATGCCTCAGCTTGTTTGCCCTTGTCTATCCTAAAATTGCCTCCAAGCAGGAGTTCCACAGTCACTTCTGAATGAAAAGATGGAAAGTGAAAGTTAGAGCTACATGTTATCCACTCTTCAGATGAATAGTCCCAGCAGTTCCACACAGATGTTAAATAGCATGGGGAACAAGATGGAACCTCATGGTGCCCATAAGAGAAAGGTCAAAGCAGAAGGGTCTTCAGCACAATCTTCTGAGATTAATTAGTCACATAAAACTGCAGCTGCTGGAACACCATGTAACCTGATCCCAACCCAATATGGTGACCCAAAAAGATAATATGGTTGATAAGTTTCCAAAGCTGCTGATAGATTCAGGAGAACTAACAGGACGATATTTCTCCACATTATTGTTCCATCTTGAGTTATCTATCTGGATGGCCAAGGCAATTTCTGTCCCAAACCAGACCTGAAATTGGATTGAAATGGATCTAAGAAGATTTTAATGTAACTGAAGTGATATGGAATTCAAGTGATATGGAAGAGATAGATATGTAGCACATCCAATGTAGCTATAGTTCACAAGGGTATTTGCTGGCTAGCAAATGCAATTCTCCATGATGCAATATCCAATGATTAAATGGATACTAAGCAGAAAAGATGACACAATCCTGTTCATCTGTCTCTTGAAAAACAAGTGAGAAGGGAAGAAAAATTACTCTTCCCAGGGTAAAAAAGTTGTGTAGGCAGAAACAACATGTGCCCCTATTACTACCCTGTCAGGTAAGGCTGGTTTTTAGAATAAGACATGAATTTTGGCAAATGCACAGATTCTGTAGATTGGCTCAAGCTCAGAAACTAGTTTTACTGGAGGGTCACTTTGAAAAGGAAGTGGAAGAACAGCAGCCAGCGCCCCAACTGCTTGTCCTTCCAACGTCCCCACTGTCAAATCCTGTTACTGAAGAAGTGTCCAATTGTGCTTTTTTCCTCTGCAGTGAGAAATTGTGTGTGTGTGTGTGTGTGTGTGGAGGGGGGGTGTTGCAGCCCCCAGAGGACAGTCCTGGCATCTGATGCTGCCTGCTGCAGATCCACAGTGAACAAATGAATCCTTAGACAAGATGCAAGACATATTTTGCAAATTTTTGTGCAAGACAAGTTTAGCCTATATATAGAGAGGCTAAACTTGTATTGCACATATCTTTAGTACGTCAACAGGAACACCCATCCTACTTGATCTGTAACACTAACTTTGTCTTTAAACAATTCAGCTTGGCTTCTATCTGAAAGACTGCCCATCTAAAAATGGCACTTATACAGGAACCTCTGCCAAGAGGAATCAGTGTTTCTATGTTTACTAGCATAGGAGATATTATTTTCCTAATTTTGAAATCTCAGCATAAAATCCATAGATCTTAGTGGGTTGTTGCTGATTGTATCAGACATTTGCACTTCTGAAGGGCAAAAGCTGTTACTTTACTGTTTTACTAGCCAGGGATGATCTCAACCGTTCCCTATGTTCTCACACAGCTAATCTAGCTCAGCGACACGCAGGCCCTTTTCCTGGAAACATTCAAATATTTAATTCAGAAAAGGATTTATACAGGCCATTACGCTCTCATTGAGTTAAAGGCTATTTCAAACTATGTTGACAAAAACCAGACCAATTCTGGTTGGTGAATGCACAGAAGTAGTCCAGTTTTACAGATCTTTATGTAACATGATGGGATGGTTAGCATTTATAAGATTAAGTCAGATCATCTGTGACTTTGTTTGAAGGGACATCAAGTTATATGAGCTGTGATTTCATCTGAAGTCCCGCGTACATATCCGATACGTCTCTCTCTGTAACAGTGGAGCTCTTAGGTGGAACAGCAAAGTGGCACAAGGGTCACGCAAACCAACACAAGCTAAAATGCTGTGCTTTCCAAAAGTCATCTGTGGTGACCAAGGGATGTTCAACTGACACATTTGTAATTTTCTTTTTAGAAGAAACTGCTCTTTTTGAAAGATCTTTCTCTTTTGCGGGGTAGGGAGATACGGAGCAGATTTCCTCTAGGTACCTACTCTTCATTAGTTTTGTGGTTGTCCATGCACTTTGTGTATGTTGTCCACCACCTTTTAGAGGAGATTGGCAGGATGAAGTTTGAAAGAACCAAGCTGTGATGATCTGGTGTGTGCAGGCAAACCACTTCTGAGGCTGTTGGGTCTGATGTAGAAGTGTCAGCTGTCTGCCACCACCGAGGGTGACAAGAACTCAATCTCCTCTACTTCCAAAGTGCTCTTGGTCCCTTGGGAGTGCCTGGGGTCCTTTGTATGGGCATCTCTGCAGCTCACCTTAGGGGAGCACAGCTAGGTTGCCCTTGGCACATGATGTGCAATCAGAATATTGAAACAGCACAGCATGAACCCAGAATGTGGCATGCCTCTTGTGAACCCTCCCCTTTTATTCCTGTCAGCCTTAATGTCCTATATCTGACTGAAGACAAATGGCAATTAAAAGGCCAACACTCCCTTGCTTGCAAACTTGAACGTAGCAATCTTCTGCATCCTTTGACAGATGTAGGAACTAAACCATCTAACTGTACCTGGTTTCTAGCTTCTTCCACCCCCTTTTCCTCCCTTACCTATTTACACCAAATGGATACACGGACTTCCACTCATTTTATGCCCTCCCACCCCACCCCTCACCCACTTCTTAGCAGAGAAACACAAAAACACCAACACACACAAAACTATGCCTTTGTGTGCACTCATACACACACACAGGAAAAATAATCTTCGTTACTCCCCACCTGGTTCTAGTCCCCTAGGTACTCCCAATTCTTCTTGGTAGCTGGGCTGCAGCCAGTCACATCTTTATTTTCAAAGAATGCTTCTGGGGCCCACTACATTTTGCAGCACAACAGTCCCTCCCAGTATTTTGTTTTGTAATTTAACATTACAAGTGTTTCTGACTTGCAATCCCACTGCTCTGTTCTGCCATTTCCATCCTGTAATGTATTCTTAATATATCTATAACTTCCTAGTATTTCACACTGGTTTTCAAGTTGCGTTTTATGTATTTGAAGATAGGAAGTGGTGGACAAGTTGTTTAAATAAGTAAATAAAAGTAAAGTATCAGAAACATAAACAAAAATCAGCAGAGGCAGGGACCATGATGTGCGTTATACGGGGTGCCCACCAGCATCATGTTGGAGGCTGCAGGCACAGTTCTGTAGCACAGTCGGGAAGTATGCTAGTTACTCTACCTCCTGCTCCTTATATTTATGGCAGCCTGCAGTATTAAAAAGATAATCAAATTACAAATTTGACTGTCATTTGTATTCTGTGCCACCCAACAGAGAGCACTGGCTGTTGGGCAGTATAAAAATTAAATACATAAAAGATAGATGAGAAATGGAATGGGTAAAATACTGACATATCTTTATTCAACCTCCTCTCTAAATAAATATGTTACCTAGAGTATTGTCAGTGGGGCAAAATTTATCCATGATCCTTTCCATCTTCTCTTGAAAAATATTACTGATCAGGACTTTGGAAGCTGGAATTTGGAAGAATTTTCCCTGGAAGAAACAGGAAAAAGAATGTACATATAATTCAACTGATCAATAAATCTCTAAAGGTATGGTTTTGAGGTGAGAATTTAAGGTTACAGAAAGACATTCACATTTAATATTTTTAACAAACTGAACATAAGAATATATAAAAAGGGATAGTTTTGCTTATTCACAGAAACTTTCAATTACAATAAATACAAATTTAAAGCTTTTAAAATATTTTGGTATAAAGCTAACAGGGAAGTAGAATTAGCTAGTAGCTAACAGCACATCATTTAGTATTTCTAAAATAAATTAAGGATGAAATGCAATGCATATTTAGATGGAAAAACCCCCACAACTTTCAGCATGCCCCAGTCTGAACTTGCATAGGGTTGCACCTTAAGCCTCATGGAGGGTAAAAAAGGCAATCCACACCTGTTTTTCTCTTTACCAAAATGAATCACTCAAATACAAATGGCACTTTTGTACAGACAAGAGCGTAACGAAGTATGCATGAGTGCATCAGGTGCTGGCTTGCAAGACACTCCCTCATGGAGCATACGGTACTGCAGGCTGGTACGGTTGCTTTCAAACAATCACCCTGGAGTTCACACAGAAATTGCAGGTGCCTCTTAATGAAACTCACGATGAGCAGAGGGAATCATCATCTCTTTTACAGATTCTGTCTTTAATTTTATCGTCTGCTTATGAAGTTAATTATCCTGCCTTGTAGATCACTTCAACTTTTAACGGACTAACTTAAGCTGGGGACAAATTGGTAATTTTCAGACAATCCCCTTTCCTACAATTTGCTCCGAGGTGGTTTTGGTATTCCATGTAATTCTGCAGAGAATAAATGCATATTCAAGTTAACGATGTTAAGAGTATAAAAATCTCATTCCTTACACTGTCCATAAGATACACATCCAGTGTCCCGGTTCCATCATCCAGTGTAAACTTCATCAGAAAGACATACTGGAGGGGTACTACTCCCAAAGCTAAGCAGAAGGGAAGCAACAATTATATTTAGAAAGGGAAAAAGTTAAAACAAGTTTTTTTTTCAAAATTACAATTTCAGATGCAGACATGATGAAACAATCCAGTCAAGATTTGTTCCTGGAGTAGTGAAGGGCTGAACCAATTTGTATTTGTGGAGGGTTCGGTCATTCACTCCAGGGTAATCTGCATGCTAGTTCTGGGTGGAGCCAGAACTCCAAAGTGGAAGGGGCCCATCTGCATTTTCTCCTCTCCCCCATGGCCATCCCACTCTGCAAGCTTCTGGAGAAAGGACAGGTTGCTCTTGCCAGAGGTCTGAACTGCTTGTAGATAGCTTCTGAACTAGGACCAAGTCACACATCTGTTGTAGAGGAAGCTGGTGAACATGCAGGGGTGTCACCTAAACTGCTCTCTCTCAACTGCGGCTGAAGGGGCACCTGGCATGTACAGAAGCCCATATACCAGCCCAAAGGATGCCTGGATTGCCCCCTAGGTATAGCCACACAAAGTCAGATGAGCAATCTGCATTCATTATACTTCTGTGTCCCTGCTGAGCAGAGCTAATCCATTCCATCCTAACACCGTTGTCAAGCACAAGCCACACTCTATGGAAGATGCTCAGAAGTGTTCGGACACAGGATGGCAATTCTATGATGGGAGCTGACCAGACAGCTGACAGGTACAAAAATATAACCCATACAATAATAAATCCAACACAATAATTGTGAATTTAGTGTAGGGCTTAAGTACTACTTCTCAGTAACTATTTATTATGCAGTGGAAATCATGCCATCATTACTGTGGATTCACTGTGTTGTGCCCAGTTCTCTTCCTAATGAAGTCACTGGGGAAAGTGCCACTGATCCTTTGGTAAATTAATGGTTCCCTGCAGAGCACCTCAGAAGCACACGTCCTATCAAGAAAACAATTTATTTTGCATTGCTTAAATTCTTAATACAGGGCCCAAAGATGGTATGCACACCACAAGACATTTGCTCTTACAGTCAGGCATGGAAGCTTTGCTCATTCCAGAAAAGTTAGCTGTGTTTAACTAGGTTTTGTGGGGAGAGGGTAAAAACATTCCCAGAAAATAACACTACTTTTCAGTGGTGGAACTTCAAAAAATTCTTACCTAACGCATGAAGTATTTTGCTTTTTCTTTCCCCCTCTTTCACACAAAGCCTTGCTACTGCTCCAGACACTTGGTCTAGCTGCAAACCTGGTCAGAAAGCCTCTGAGAATGATGCTACATGATAAACTGTCACTGTCAGGGGCAATCTTGTCCAGACCTGTGGCTGGAGTGGCCACACCATCCCTAGAATGGCAATGAGGTTGGGAGGGAGGAGAGAAAGAGAAAGATAGAGAGAGCAAGAGGGAAGAATGGAAAGAGAACAATCCCTTGGCCATTTTCTATATTAAGGAAAAAAATCTGAAATCTGCCATCTCCCTAAAACTTCTGAATCTTCCCTTCCTTCTCCTGGCATTCCAATAGTCCCGTGAATGCAGGAAGCTATTTCCCATGCAGACACTTCTCGTTTCCCTTTTGAGATTGTCGAAGGAAACACAAATGATAGCAGAAGGCTATCTCCAATACGTCCTCTCTCAGGACATGACTCACTCAAGTTAAAAAAGTGAGCACGTGGAGTACAGTAGGGATTCTTTTCTACTTAAATGCAAATTACTCAAAGCATAAATACTATAAAATAGGGAAAGCTTATCTATGCATGAAGTAGCAAGGGTTTTTTCTGTGCTCACAGCAAGAATACACAAACATTAGCCAAACTGTTTTTTGTTCTGGGGTCTTCTTTTGAAAAGAGCTAGGTTTCAACAGAGTCACCATTTTGTGCTGTGATCCCTCAGCATGTCACCACACTGCTTGATCGTTGATTTATGTAATTATTCACAAATTATCATACATTGTATTTTTTTTGAGGCAAGCTTGTTTCCATAGCTAGCAGAACAGTTGCCTGGTATGTTATCAGATGACAAGAAAGAATTCTGGAGGGCAACAATGAAGAGAAGTGGGTTAGGAGTCTCTGGTAACCTCAGAGTCATACTGTAAGCAGCTCTGCAACCTTGCCAATGTGTGTGCACACTACCACATTTGAGTAGATTGATCTGGTTGCTTCTTAAGACTTTGGGGAAAGGCTGTAGCTCAATGGTCAGCAGAAGGCTCCAGGTTTAACCTCTGGCATCCCTAGAGCTAGAAAAGAAACCTTCCTGCAAAGCAAACCAACGTGGTCATGGACAAAACTCAAGAGAGCTGCTGCCAGTCTGTGTTGGCAATACTAGGCTAGATGAACCATGGTCCTACTTGGAATAAAGCAGCTTCCTATCTCCCTTTGCGATTTCGGAAGTAAAATTTAATACAATAATATTCCTGAATGGCTGAAGAGCATCATCTAACCTTGTGATATTGTAGTGGGCTCCCATGATGGATCTTCCTGTGCAACAAGGCTGCCCAGACTTGACACTGCCTTTGGAGATGAACAGCGCTTACACCTAATATTTAAGAAGAAACAATGGTATGAATTCTTATGTATGTTAAACTGTTCTGAAATCTAACTTGTGGGTGGGAAATACTTCCTGGCTCAACTGTTTATCAATATATTATTAAGCATATTGGTTGAACTTCAAATTTGTTTTGTAATCATTGAAACCTGCTTCACCATGAAAGTAATAAATCTGCCATGATATATTCTAGAACATGATAGAATACAGATATCTCACTTTACCTAATGCCAAAAGTATTATAAGTGATTTCAACAGCTTATTTTTTATTTTGTTAGCAGTTATTTCAATTTCCACATTAACTACAAAAGAAAAAAATACTCCAAGAGGGAGAATATATTTTGATGCTAGACAGGCTATCAACATAAAATTGATCTTAAAGAGTAGGTACTAATGAAAATATTAGGTTTCCAGTTTTTTAAAAAAGAACTATCTATGATATACAAGCATCTACAGCATAAGACAGTATCTGCAGTGTTTTTATGGCTGCATTATTCTCATAGTATAGAGAAATGACTAATGTTGTCCAATGTAATTGGTCATAAGCCAAGACAAATTCAGATTTGTCTTGCAATTTCAAACTGCATTCATTCCATTGACTTGCACAATATGCAGCTATAAAGGGTATCCCACTTGCTTCTGCACAGGAGACACAAAACAAATGGTTTTTATGATTTGACTGTGAACTTTGAAACATGTAATAACAGACTAGACAAACAAACAAAGAGGAACCAAAAAAGTAGTATTAAAACATCACAGATTCATTGAGTTAGAGGGAGTCTTGAAGGCTGTCTAGTCCAATAAACGCTGAAACATCCCAACCAGTTAGTTGCTCAGCCTCTACTGCCAGACCTGCCACAAGGGAGAACTCCTCTCCCACAGTGAGTGTCAATCTGGTCTCTCTGTCAAGGAATGTCTCCCAACTGGAATGACTTACCTAGACCTTAAGCCCAGTAGAATTAGTCCTGCCTTCTGGGGCAGCAGATAAAGTCTTTGACCCACTCTCTGTGACAGTCTCCAGCCTTTTGGGGAGTGCTATCTCTTCCCTAGGATAATCTTCACTCAGCTTTTACTCATAGTAATCAGTTTCTAAATCCCTGAACATCATTGCGACACAGAACCTGTTATACATCTGATCTGTCTACACCCTTATTTCTTTATTTCAAGCTTTTCTTTACCGTCCAACTACTAGCATATCGGGATGGTCTTATAGTAAAAGCAGCACAAAATGAAATGAAGCACAACATCGAAGTAATTCTAATAAGATGAAACCCACATTAAAACCTAATCAAACATTAAAATAATGGGAAAATAAAACAGTTTTAGCCTGGCGCCAAAAGAATGTCGGCACCAGGCGAAGCTCTCTGGGAAGTGCATTCCATAATCAGGGTGCCACTGCAGAAAAGGCCCTTCTCCGGGAGGCCACCCTCCTAATCTCCTTCAAGGAGGGCTCCACCTCAGAGCTTAAGGGGTAGGTAGGCATGTAGAGAAGGAGATGTGGTACACCAGTGAAGTCTGACTGGTGGGCAAAATAGTGAAACTTTTAGGTCTCGTGACTTGGGCACTATGTTTCCATTACTGCAGTCTAAGACTGCACTGGCTCTTTTGCAGTTGGCAAGGATTATGAACATGATTTCTGATCAAGTGGGACATTGCACATGTGAAAGTCCTGATATAATGCATATGTTATTGTATTTCAATGTATTTTATCATGTTGTAAGCCGCCCCGAGGTTTCGGCAAGGGGCGGCATAGAAATGTTATAATAATAATAATAATAATAATAATAATAATAATAATAATAATAATGATGACAACAACAACCCCCATGCATATTAGGGATTTCCCAATTCAGCTAAAAGGAACTGCTCTGTTCTTTGCAGGCTTAAAATTCCCCTGGTCCACTGAACAGGTATTCCATGTGTCTTGGATAGAAACAAAAACAGCACAGCTCATATAAAGAGCATACATAGTGTTATATCTGATGGCTCCATCCTTCCAGAGATGTGGAAGAAGCAGAGGGGTGCAGCAAGGAACAAAGGATGGGAAAATCCTGTTGCATGAGTGGAAGTCTTGCTGCTCATGAGGACTGGATCCAACCTACTGAAGGTGTAAATGTGGAGTAGCAGTTACAGTGACTGAACTCAGTAAATGACCCTGGGATTGTAGCTTTCTTTCTAAATCCCTCTACCTCCATTCACAGGGTTGTGAAGATAAAACTAATATGCAGGCCACATAGAAGCTTCTTGGAAGGAGGATGGGATAAATCAATGTTTTCACAATAAAGCATGTTTTTCTGTAATATTGTTTTTTATAGACAATTACTTCAAAGAGAGACAACTCAGTGAAACAGACTATATAAAGAATAGCAACCAATTCCAAAAATTGAAATTGGATACTAACATTGCTAGCATTCAATTCATATTTGGGCTACTGTTTTACCTTCCTCACCTATGTAAATGTAATTTTGGCAAGAGGAACAGATAATATAACTTTGTAAAGTTCTAGCTACTGATCTAAGTTTTCAGCAACAAAATCTGAACAAATAAAAGAAGCCTAGTTTCAGTATAATCTACGAAAAAAATTACCCATAGTACTGCATATTCTCTTGCCAGAAAAATGGGGCAGAAAGATCCAGTAGCATAAGATTGTCTTCTGTGGATCTCACAGTTATAATTCCTTTAAATATTTTTGAGAGCTTCAGGATGTCTTTTCGTGTCCCTCCTAGTGAAAAAAGTAAAAATGTTCACGTTATTTTAAAACTTTGATCACTTGGATTAGAACCACTATTTGCTGGGCTATCATGGTTATCTCCAACCATTCTTGCATATATGAAACAGAAATATACATAATTTATAAAGAATAAAAGATTAACCTTCCTAAAATGACAGACTGGCACAACAACCCAGTACCATATTTCAGGGTTTGTTTCTTTTTTTAGCTGAGCAGGACAAGGACTATGACTTATAAATGCATCATGTACCGGCCTTAATTTTTGCCTTGGCAAGAAGTAGTTTGGATACAACAGAGTGGGGCTCGGTTTTCCTCTTGGCATATACTGAACATGGAATCAAGCTGAAGTACATATCACGCCATATCCCTCTCCCCATTGAGTAAGGTTCAAAAGGCCTGATACTTGCATTGCTTGACCAAGTGGAAGAGGGAAGAGTTGGGAAGCGATACATGAGTGTGCACAGACTTACCATTCCTTGTGAAGTCCTGGAATAATATCTGAGCATGTGTTACTTGGCAGAACACACCACGATTACTTAAGGCTATTTATATGACACCACTCAGACTATGTATTAAGAGACTGGGGCCACAAATTACCAAATGTTTTACAAATCTTATCTCCACAACTTCCCAGCTCTGTGCACTCAGCAGTATTTTGGACATGTGCTTCTTGACCAGTAATCCTCCACAGAGCAGCCCAAATGAAAAGATCTGGAGAAGAATCTGAAGTAGTTTTTGGTATTATCTTCATTGAAGCTCATCAGCTCATGTGCATTGTTTTAATGAAATCTTGTAATTCTAAAAATTTGCTCTATTTTCCATCTAGGCCTTGTAAAAGGTAAAGGCAGGATACAGAATACAGAACCACAAAAAACCAAACCAAACCGAGGAGGCTGAAGGCATTTTTGCACACTGGGAACATTTCAAGTGGCTCATGAGTTATAGTCATAGTGATAACTGGGCTACCACCTATCTATCCAAGAGGCAACCTGCCTTTAAGGGCACTGCTAAAATGTGCATCTTTCCTTCATAGAGAGTACAGCCTTATCAGGAACAACTGGAATACCTCTAACTAGTCCTTCCTTCCCACCTCTCACGAGCATTTCCATGTCATCTAGATTACCCTTTAGCTTGTTAGTCCACATCCAGCCCTCCACTAATCTCAGATTCAGAACTTGGACCCAGAAGAAAAGGAAGAATAGAGTTGCATTTCATCCACAGATTGATCACATTGCACCTTGAAAGTCCAGTTGACCAGCAGTTTTATGTATATGTTGATCAACACAAGAGGGAAACTTATTGATTCCCGACCACTGGTTCCCCACTTCCATCTTTTGACACATGCTCCCCTGGAATCAGAGGGACCACGAAGCCGTAATTATAGTATCTTAGACCTGCTGGTGCCCAAAAGGATTCCATAGTTGATGACAACAAAAGCCACTGAGAAGTTCAACAGAATCAACAAGGATACACTCCCCATGTCTTATCTTCTAGCATAGATCAGTATATCACTATCAGATCTGTTGTTAACATAATGTATTTTCCACAAAGATAAGCAGTTTTGAGAACAAATTTTTGTTGTTCCAATTTTTAAAAATACAAGTAGGCACAGATCAACAGGAAGCTCTCTTGCACAAGTGCACACAATGAACATGAGCTTATTAACATGCCCTATTAACATGCCAGCTGTGATAAATTTCCATGAATGCATGTGGCTCTGTCAAGAAAAAAAATATGGCTTTTTCACATGAATACCGTTTTATCTATGTGAAAATACTGACATCCAGAGGATGGCTAAGTTAAAAGTACATCTGCAACCAGACAGCCAGCCTGCATCTTACGCAGATAGAAGAAAGAAGACTTTGAGAGAAAAGCATATGAATCCCAAAAAGCAATGGAATCAATAATTTGTAGATAATAAAGTTTCTGATTTACTATTAAGTATTTCATTCACATTTACTATATAGCAATTCTCTCCTTGGATCATCCCTATCCTCCTATCCCTGGCTGTCTCTCTTCTCACATTCTTCTACCTGCATAGCTATACATTGAATTAGCATGTTGAGCCACCTTTGCTAAGCTGAAATGGCACAGTCCTGCAGCCAGATGGGTGATCACGTGTGGAAGCAGAGCAGGTCACTGGAGCACTAAGCATTATGCAGAAGGATGAGAAGGCTATGCAGGTTTTTATCATAAAGGCATACTAATTTGGGGACACAATTCAAGCTAAACTCTTGTAAAAAATCAGTTCTAGGGCATGATTCAGAGCATTGTACAGAAGTTTGCCAGTGTATAAGGTGCATTTCTTCATAAATAGAAGAAGGGGTCTTTGAGTGCCCATAGACTGGAAAACAGAAAGAGTGTGTGTGTTGTGAACACTTTTCATTGTAAAGTTTTGTTGGCTTATGGAGGAATCACATGATGGTAAGAGCTGTGGTGGCTTAAGTATAATGCACTATCACCTATATCACGTATAGTCTAATTAGCTAACCTTCAATCAGAATTATGCCATCTTCAGCTTTTCGAAGTAGATCGTCATGTTTTACAAAATGAACCACTATGCGTTGCTGTTCCTTGTTTTCAGTATCCCATGCAACAGCTTCGCAGAAGGATGTAGTTAGCAAATCTGAATTTGAGCACGTAGCTGAAGCCTCTTGCAGAAGTGAATCAAGCTCAGCCTCATCTGGAACCTCTGCCCTGAAAACAGTTACAGCTTGAAGTGAACACCAGTAGCCTGCTCAAAACAATATGGTGGACTGAGATGAAGCCCAAATCAAGCCCAAGAATGCTGGGATAAAGATGGACATTTCTACATTCACGTCTGACACAAGCAAAGTGGGATGCAGCAATTTAAGGTCTTCATGTTACCCAATCCTGGAGAATATGGGCATTCTAAATTTAAAAAGGACTAGAAAGGCTACATTTCCATAAAATATTCAAAGTGATCACCTCTGCTTCTTTATATTTGGTCAAAGGTAATAGAAACAAATGCAAAATGTAAACTGTCACATTTGCTATGAATGAAGCTTATTTAATACAGGGAGAGTAATTAATCAGCTTATATTAAGGATGGACGAATCTGTGTTTCCTGTTCATCAGGCCTGCTGCCGCCTAGGATGCTTGCGCAGCCACTGGGGCTCACAGTGCAAGAAGGGCTCACACTTTCCTGTCCCTACCCATGGGGACCCACTTGGCACTGCCACTACCACCACTGATATTTTTCGGGCCCTGATTAGTACTGAAGTGCCTCTGAATGTCCTTGGCCAGTGGTATTTCTAGAGGGGAATTTGAACAGATGTTTGGCCCTGTTACATACCAGGCAGCCACCACCTTAGATTTCTCCAAATACTATGTCCTTTGAGTGGATAACTACATTCTGATCCATATGTTTGCCTAGAAAGTGAGAAACAATTCAGTTCAGTTGGAATTTGTCTGTCCTGAATTCCTCAACCTATATGTAATATCACTTGTGTATTTATAGTACCACCTTCCTGGGAGAAGAAGTGAAAGGAGCTTCATTTTGCAGTCTACCCAATTTTGTTACTGCATTGCAGAAGTATTCATCCCTTTGACTTTTGTTGTGTTACAACTTGGAACAGAAAGGGATTTAACTGGCACTGTTCCCATTTGATGTACACAAGATAATCAACACTGAGAATTAGCAAAATATTTCTTTTGGGGCACAAACAGAAAGCAAACAACAACAAATTGACTTGCTGGTAACAATGCCATTAAACCAATTTCAGTTCCAGGTTGTAACTAACAACATAGGGAAAACTCAAAGGGCAGGGAATACTTCTGCAAGGGACTTTATCTACCATACAATGACTCAAACATTTCTCAGTATAAAAACAGGTTTTAACACACCTACTTCTGCAAAGCCTCAAGCAAGGAAGTTTTATCATCCACAAGCCTATGTACTTCACATTACTTGAAGGTAGTGTATCTGCAAGGTGTTGAAATGCTGATCTTTATGTAGAAAGGCACTTCATCCACATTTAAGCTCAAATCTCTGACAACAAGAGACTATAATGGGCACTTGATGTCCTAAGTTGCAAGTAACCCAAAGATCTAGTTGACCTTAACTGCATTCTATTAACAGCTCTTCAGAACAGCATGAGTTCCTTATAACATAGGGACATCCAAGAACTTACAACAAATTGCACTGTGGACAATGAAGTTTAACAGATTGATAGAGCTTCTTGGGTTCAAACTTTGTCAGCTTAGCTCTGATGCGATATGGCTGAGGAATCCTGCTATTCATAATAGTGGCCAGTGCGGTCGTATCAAAATGCTGGTGATCTGTTAGCACTACCAAAAAAGGTAAAAAAAAAATCAACACAGTGTTGGATCAGCATGAACCAAAAAACAGGTGAAGCTCATCATAAGACTCATGCACTTAAAGTTTGGTGAAGCTGTTCAACTTTGCTATTGTTTCTAAGTGACATGTTTAATAATGTTTTATTGAATCTATCTATCTTCGCTGGACTGGGACTGAGGATATTCTAGTCCTCATTTGGGTGACTTTGGGCCAGTCACTGACTACCAAGCTAACATATTTCACAAGGTTGCTGTGAGGAGAGAGAAGAAAAGCAGGAGCATTTAATCTACTTTGTGTTCATTACCAAATGTAAAAATACGTGTAAAATGAATGCAATAATAACCATATTCAAATCTTTGTGTTTAGCTCCTTGCCAAACAGAGAAGACTATAGTGAGTAGACTATATAAAAGCACCCACGCTTCTTAAATTACTGGCCTGACTGTATAAGAAATTAAGCCTTGGATTAGGGATAGGTAAATTTATTTGGTTTTGGTCTGCATTATGTCCAATTCTGTTATCTCCCATTTTTCTTTAATCAGCACTGAAACTTTTATTTAAAATTAAAGCATTTTCTCTCAAAATGTACACTATCAAATGGGTGCCTTAGCAAACAGAAAGGCTCCCACAAGGTGTCTTCCTGAAATCTATTTTCTTCTAATGCCCTGTTCTGTCTTTTGGCTGGAGAGCAGGTTAAAAATGCCTTAAGCACATTTTTAAAAATTCACTGTGACATTCTAGACCTTCAGAAGCAGATTTTGGAGAGCGGGAAAAATGCCTGCAGTGCAGAAGAGTGGGCAGACAGCCTGACTGTGCAAACAGTTTCTTTGGATATCAGATACTCCAAATACTGAAAATGAGATTTCTACCTGTAACAGATAACTGTTGGCATCTTTCCATATAGGATCCTACTTAGAACAGAAAAGAAGGGAAATGATTTTTCTTTACTCATCACACTTTTACATGAACAGTAAAATATAAAAATCAAAATCAATACATCATTACAAATTTTAAAATAAAAGATACAAATGTATTACTTGAAGATGACAAGACATTGCAGGTTTGAAAAGTAACATTGATGAGCATTGATTTCCTACAGCACTTCTGATGATCTCTTTTTAAACTGGATGGCCATACTTCATATGTAGGCTTACCTATTCCAGTTGATAGAAAATTGTAATGTGTTCTCAGATAAGCCAATATTCCATTTAAAAATGTACCTATTTGTATTACATTTCACTTCAATCACATACACTTATGGGTAACTTGCTTATATGAGATAACAGAAAAGCAATCTTGCACATAAATTCAGAAAGCAAAACTCATGTACCCAATTCAACTACCCTTAAGAAAATGCTATTTGCTTTTGGGGCCAAATAAGAATAACCAACAATGGATTAAATTTTACATCTAGACATTCTGCTGAGCTCTTGGACAATTAGATTATATCAAGGCCTGCATCATATCCCCCAAGTTAGATGGAAATAGCTTTTAAAAAATCCTTACATGGACCATAAGTATGCTCAAGTTCAGAAGAAGAAGCTCCTTCTGAACACTCATTCTCTGTCACTTCTACAGAGTCCAAGAATCTGAAAATGAATTGGGACAAAAAGAGCAGAACACTTGAAATGAAGGCAGAACTGTATGACTTTGCAAGCTATTACAAAGGCAGTTCCCAATCACTGAGCACTGCTTACTCAAGCCACAGGACTTTGTGCATCCTGGTGATGCGGCAAGGTTGAAATCTGGCCTACGCTGATCATGCTGCAATGCCTAGACATCTCACCTGGAATTCACACACCAGTATTACCCATAATATTAGGATTTCAAGCTCTCTGTTTTAAAAACACAAGTTGTGTTTGAATTGTGATACCTTGTACACAAGAATGAGAAAGGGCTAGGAAGTGATTTTTTAAAAAGAAGCTTAGTTTTGGAGATGTGATAGTCTGGAAAAAGCTAAGTTTTAATGTAAGTCATTTATATTGCTTTATTTTTAAGATATGGTGTTTTTTTTTAACCATACTGCATCTGGATTACTACAATTCATGTTCATGGCCAGTATGAGTCAATGTTCATTTAATGCTCAGCCACAGCAGTGCAAAGAATGAGTGCTTACGATTGACTTGAAAAACTGATTATGGATAAAGGTATACTGATATTTCTGTTTAATGAATTTTAAAACATGCTAAAAAGAGTAAAGCTATGTATACTTAATCTAATGCATGCTTACTTAAATCTCATTGTGTTTAACTGTTTACTTCCTAGTAAGTGTGGAAGAGTACTATCCAATGGTAGGAAACATGGAAAACTGCTTGGCAACTTACTTTTTCTCCTGCTCTTTCAGTTCCTGCATTTGCTGAAAGCCCTGTCTAAAGGACATGACTTGAATCCTCTGTGGGAAATCAGCCCTGAATATTTCTTGATTCCTATTCTGTGCATGGTCACTTGTCATGGTGGCTTTTAGGCATGTTGGTTCATTAGGAGACATGTGCACAGCAATTTAAAGGGTTCAGAGTGCACTCAATACACTGTGTTCTTATAATCTTCACCACAGGGACGGTGAACCTCAGGCTGATGGGTCAAATGCAGCCCATTAGGGTTTCCCAAAAGGACACACCTTACGGCAAAGATTCTTCAACTGACTGGCAGAAACTTCAAAAGCTGGGCCAAAAAGTTCTGGATAAACACACTGTTTCATTTTCCCATTTTCCAAATGAAAGGCATCTTAAATATTATTTACTCACGCCTTTAGTTCCTTGACATCAGCATAGCTTTCTGGCAGGACTATAATTCCACGACCATAGCCAGTGCCCCCATGAAGATGAAACTGGATATATGAAATATCAGATCTGCCTTCAAGACCTTGGGGTTTTGCATGCAAATTATACATTCGAATAAAGCTTCCAACCTTAAAAACAAAACAAAACAGTATTTCATGAGGAAAAGCTAAAAAGCCATTTTAATCTGTCTAAGAGAGAAGCTTGTTTAGTAATTACAAGTACCATTTTGTGCAGCTTCATTTGGAAACTGGATTAAGCATCAGTGATACCAAACTCTTAAAATACACTGTGAATATTTGAGTAAAATTAATAAATACTGTAACATAAATACTGTTGTTTACAAGTACATATCAGTATTAGGAATGCATTGTGGATAAACTATCTTTGGGGACACTTACCTAATAAGTATTTTTAATATAGAGGAAGGTAGTTACCTATTTTAGTCTCAAATTAAATTGTTAGCAATTGTAGTACCATAATTCATGATTACACCAATGCTTTTATTATCTACCTATACAGAATTTTTAATTATGATTTTATGAAAGTTAAAATGTGATTTCCTACTATGAATATGAATGTATTATATTAGAAATGCTATTTCCTATGTATGCCAGTATATTTGTGATGTTACTATCTAATTTTAAAAGAAATATATTTTGTATATGACCATACTCGCCATATATGTAAGTTTGGCTCTAGGTATGTGTGTAAATAATCTATTTGTATCAATGTTAGCATATGTTATTTATTTCCCCATTAAGGACTGTAAAGTATTATCAGCATACAACTGATCTCTTGTGATTGCAAGTGATCACTGCTAAAATTGCAACATCTCAATTATTTCATTTTAAATAAAAAGACTTCCCAAGAGGTGTTTTCTTAACCCTTCTTTCTGTCAATTAAGGAAAGAATCAACCTGCTTCTTGATGTCATGTATATTCTGCAAGTTTCTGGAAGCAATCATAGTTCCGGGGAAGATCTGATGCTTTATTATGTTCCTTTTGTGCTGGGAAGACAGCCTCACTTTTTACAAGCAATTGGTCACAGGATTATTTCAGACTCCTCTCTCTGAATCCTGTTGCTTCTTCCTTTAACCTCCATTAGATGGTGATAATGCATCACAGACCCTTCATTTTGCTGTGGGAGCATAAAGTCTACCTCAAAAAGATATACCGCATAGAAACTAGGACTGCTATCTTTTAAACAACTCACCTATTTTTCAAGATACTTCTACTTGGAAATTTACAAAAGAAAGAATAAAAGAAAAACTCTTAAAGGATCATTTTACTATAACTGGGCATACTTCACAGGCACAATGTTATTAAGGTACAATTGTGCAAATTATTATGAAGGCACAATCCTAGAACAAAAGTCCTAGAATTCCCAGAATTCCTCAGCCAGCTTTACTAGGGAACCCTGCAAATTGTAGGACTTTCTTTCTGTCTAAACATGCATAGACCTGCACCCTAAAGTACATATTACATGTACAACTGTATTGCAGTACGACACAAATAGCAAGGTCTTCCTCTACTAGAGATACTTATTAGATTTATATCCTGGCTTTTTTCCTGGAAAGAACTCAAAGGGGCTTACATCATTCTCCTCCTGCTGCCCTCTATCTCACCTCACAACAGCTACCCTTTGAGGCAGGTTGGGCTGAGAGTCTGGAACTGGCCCAAAGGCACCCAGATAGCTCCATGGCCGAGTGGAGACTAGAACCCAGATTGCCCGAGTCCCAGTTCCCCTGTGCTCTGTGCCTGAGTCCCAGTCTCACGCTCTATGCCACTACACCACCACACTGGATCTCTATCAGCTGGCAAACTCCATGAGACCTCTCACAGTTAAGAAGGAACATCACTAAATTCTGTGTGAACTGGTGACCCACCATGGAGTCTGCAATGTGCTATGTGTCGATTACTGTGGAACATCACCAATATGATCCAAAATGCTTAATAAAAATACAGCTAAAAAGAGTATGTTGTGACAGAGGACATCTCTGGAGGCTAACTGTATGTCAGCAAAGTGAAGAAGTGATTCACAGGTTAATTTTATCCCTTTATGAATGTATGTTATACCCTACATCAACAGATCTCAGGACTGGATAAAATCTAGCAAGAAAGAAGCTCAAAGAAGAACAAAATGATCATTCACAGTCCATTACATTCAACATCATTTGAAGATCAGCACTAATAACCCAAGAAATGGATCAAATTGACCTACACACAATGAAACCCAAAGGCTGGGCTAAATAGCTGTAACAGAATGCTGGAATAAGACAACAGCAGCAGCTGGGCCTCCAAGTAGGGAGCCTTCCATAGTGAGGTCTCTGGGGAGGTGTGTACAGGGTCTCCATGACATCCTTCCTGGCAGAAAGCCTGATGGCTCTTCCTGAGTGTTCCCTGGAACTAGCTGAGGGTAGATGGATGGGCAAAACCAAGAGGTGGCAGGGCCAAGATCTAGTGCCTCTCAATCAACCTGAGTACACAGGTGTATTCAGGCAGAACAGAAATAAATGAAATAATCAGAACATTGCAAAAAGAAAAAAAAAAGAAAGAAAGAACGAAAAGAAAAAAGTTCAAAATTAATTCTATTGGGAATTGCCAGAACAAATTCAAGCAAATAGGAATAATTCTTAATAGAGAGGTTGCTAAAGATAAGACTGCAGTAATTTTATAAAAAAAAGTACAAACACGCTCCCCCGTTAAAAAAAAAATCAGTCGTTACTATAGTTGTATTAAAAATATGCATTATCAATATTTTTCCTTTGGAGGGCAGCATTGTACAATGTTTTCCTGCTGACTTGTGAAAGCAAATTCTACTCATGAGACTGTTAAGAAAAACAATAAAAAATGTTAATGTTTAGAAATCTATCAAAGTGGGGTAGGATCCAAACAATAGAAAATAACCAGTAACACAGTTCTAAACTGTTTGTGCAAGCATGAGACAAAGAGCTTGCCCAAAATACCGTTACTGGTAAACAAGTGCAACCTGCAAGAAAATGGTACAGTGTGAAGTGCTTCCATTCACTGTTCCAGCCCATCGGCCATCATATGCTTTTCGCTATCCAGTTTTCTATCACCCTCCTCTCTTTCAGTCATGATTCTACAACTCACTGCTCATGGATCTGTTTTAGGGTTTCCCTTATGCAGTACCCATCAAAGAAAGCTAGTGTTTCAAAGTGTAAACTCGGAAACCAGAAGAAATGCTTGTTTCCTGATCAGGACTGTTGAGCAGAACCTCTCACTGCGAGCTTTGTCGATCTACTCTGTTCCAGAAACTAGCTTTCCTGATTATTTCCAGCTGGTTTTAGTTCCCCTGTAGTGGAGCATGGGCAGACACGGATAAAGCCCTATATCCGAATTAGGACCCCCCCCCCCCCGCTTTTTTTAACAGGGAATTCTATCCTTGAATAAGGCTAGGGCCGACATCTTGTCTTCTCTTTACCCTCCCAGGAACGGCAAAGAGTTTATGTTCTAATTCATCCCTTATTTTGTAAGGAATTTTTAAAAAATAAATCCTCCTGATACAGGATTTCTTTTCATGCTCTGTATTGCAGCTTGGAAGTATGGCGACTCAGAAAGAGGGACCTGAAGACAGCTTTGCAGTGTAGTTCATACTAATACTGCAAATCAGACTTAGAGTAGTTTACAATTTTGCAGTGCTGTTCAGAAGCATTAGGTTCTTTTGCCGGTTGGAGTGAAGCTGAAAAATGGTATGAACTCTGTAGTATTATGCATTGCCTCTATCCCCACAGTGGAGATTGGGGCTGAGAGAAAATATGCAGCAATTTTGCAATGTAGTTCCCTGATATAACCCAATTATAGGCTGAATGGCTACATATGAGAGTAAAAAAAGGGAAAGATTAAGAAAGGGAGAAAAAAAGAGCATCTTATAGCAATCCAGCAATGTCATTCATTGTTAATGTGGCACATCAGTGGTAAGGGAGAGGCCAATGCAGATTCTTAGTCAAAAACCTTCTGTACCTTTTAGGATCACTGCAAAAGTCCACCTGAACAGGAATACCCCACATGGCACCACTTTTTCATAAGCTCCAATGGTACAGCAGATGTTAAAATGCTGGTTCATAAATTATCTCTGAGAGATGCTCACCTGCCATAAGAGTGCTTGTCACATCCCTTCCACATCTAAAGTCTTCTTCACACCACTGCAGGTAGACCTGTGGCTCAGTGACAGAGCACATGCTTTGCACCCAGAAGGGTTGCAAGTTCAATCACCAGCATTTCAATTCTCAGAGCTGCTGCCACTCAGTGTTGGCAACACTGGGCCAGATGGACCCTGGATTGACAGTAGAAGGCATTTCCTGTGTTCTCAGTATTAATATATGTTGTAGCCACAGACACAGTCAAGCCCCATGTACAGTCCTTGGCAAATCTGCGTGGACTTCAGGAAATGTGTTTCTTACACTTTCCCATGTTGGAGGTCAATAGAATCTTAGACTACACAGAAGGTGGCTACACAGAAGCAGGTCTGTGCTGCACAAGAAAGCAGTGGAAAACAACTATTGGAGCTGAAGTTCAACAAAACTGTCCTCAGGTAAAAAACCAACATAAGCCCAACTTAGTGTAGACCCAATCAGATCCATGGGACTTCAGTTAGTCTTGTCTAATTGAAGCTCCATCAATTTCAGTGAGAGTCCTTTAAGTAAGACTTATACGTGATTTTATACCTTGTGCAAGTCTTCATTCCTGCTTATACCAGGGAAACAAATACTGTAATATGCAGAGAACAACCAAACATAAGATGAGGTATAGCCAAGAAATGTCACAAATAAATGTTGCTGGATGTACACTGCCCAGAGGGTCTTGTTTAGGACCATTGGCTGTTGTTTAGAAATCAAATATATAAATAATTACTCAGGTGAGCATCATACACAAGAGCTATTATGACTGCATTATGGAGAACACAGCATAGCTTGGAAAACAGACAATATGCCCTTCAGAATAAATATGATCATCACCAGATAATAGACCGCAAAGCTTATTTTTATCAATAGGAAGAAAAAGCAGAACCATAATTTACCATTCAAGTAATATGTAATTCAGTGAAATTAAAGTTTTGCATTACACTGAAGAGAAAATAGTGTTTTAGACAAAATGCTGTTGGCAGAAGTACTGCAATATAATTTCACACTGTGCTCTTATTTTAAAAAATGAAGCAGAATGTACTACCGCCCCCTTCCAGTTTTCCTTATTTTCTTACAGTATGCTTTCACGCTCACTAACATGGGCTCAATTATATTCCATTAAAAATAAACTAGACAATTATTTTCACATATACTATGTTATTAACTGCAAGGTATAAAAATAGTGTAAAAGGAGATTTGGACATTAAATCTCCACCTACAAACTGGAGGAAGCAAACATTGAAGAATCACCTGCCATTTGATTAGGAATTTACATGGCAAGGCAATCCTGAGCAACTTTCAAATTCAGAAAAGATATTGTTGGGAAAAACACAGCATGTAACTGCACCTAAATAGCTCTGACTAAAATAAAGCCTGTAATTCCAGCCGTCATCCATAAGAATAGAGTTGAATGTTTTTATTTCATTCTAGAAATTCACAAAAACATATGCTGAGTTCACTCTGGAAGGTTAAGGCAATGAACTGAAAAGGCAAGAGAGATCAATAAAAAACCTAACCCTAACTCTGTTTTTCCCCCACTGAATAATTGAGGTTTCTCCCATTCTTTCCAATTGCTAATGAAATTTGCATATATATGGGCTTGAAGAACATGCAACTCTAGTGGGAATTGTGCAGGATTGGCCTTGCACAAATTAAAATTTGTACAAGTCAGCTTCTGCACCAATCAGCTGATTTTGCACAAATCTCACCATAGCACAGGTTTTTCAAAGTTGTACATGCTACTTTTAACTGCACATTTCATTAGCTGTTAAAAATACATAAATTGTGATATTTTGTGTAGCTGGAAGTCTGTGAGTTGTTTGTACATGGAATAAAACAGTAAGCGTTCAACAGGAAAGGATCTTAGTGCAAAATGTTTAGTACAAAGGATTGTAGTCCACAGATCACAGTGTGGAATAACTATACCTGAAAAGCATTCAGAGGTTTATGTACTGAAGAATTGGCAAGGTTCTATGCAAACAGCATGTGGTTATGTATGTGGGAGACTGCAGCAAAGGCCATGCAAATAGGGATTGCCTTCCCAAGAATCTATGGTTCCCTGACAGTTAGGCACATCACGGCTTTTGTTAGCTCTCAAGCTCCAGCTGGCCATGAATTATCCTAGGGCTTGCCCACCTTCCTCCTCTCCCACTCTGAAATGTGTTCACTAAATGGGCAAAAAGATCCATCTAGCAAAAATGCAGGGTGCATGGACAGGGAGGCGAAGTTCAGCTCTGCTGTTCCTCATGCCCTGCACAGAATGATCAAAAACTCTGAGTTAAGGGGATAGTGATAATCACAGCAGGATTATGCTGTAAGTCCTTTTCTTCTTTTCCCAGCAGAACTGGCCTGCTGGGAGGTTTCCACAGATGAATCAGAGGAAGGTACAAGATTTAAACAAATAAAGTCCAGGGGGTGCTAGTTTTTGGTGATCATAAATACAAAGCCACATAACACTAGTAAAAAGCCACAGTAAAATTGCAGAGAAGTTCCATTACCTTCAGTGATTTGGCTAACTGTACATGATTATCGTAAACTACAATGTCCACTGTCAGATTTCTAAGCTGATTGATGAGGATGCCATCTCCTTCAAGGTCATCTTCTTTAACAAGTACCTTCCATGAAGGGAAAGGGCATTTTGTGCCATCCCACACCTACCAGGAAACAAATTTTAAAAACTGGCAGCATAAAAATCATACAACTTTAATATTCTATATTAAGGCAATGCCTCTAAGTATGCATGCCTAAATATTTGACAGAAGTGTATTTCCAGGTGAAGGTGTTTGAGATCAAAGGAAAATATTACACACACACAATTTACAAGTCTGTCGTTTGAAGACCAACACAAATTTGATTACATTTTTAATGGATTTAAATAGCACTTACCATATTTTAAAATACCTCTTAGCAGTTCACACTAAAAATGATAGCACATATTAAAATACCACAAACATGTATAAAAACATTGTACCAAAGACTCACAGTGCCACTATCAGCAAGCAGACTAGGGAAGGTTTGTGTGAAGAGATGGGTTTTTGGCAGCACAGCATGCCGCAGTTACACTGCGTGAATACATGTGGGAAGGCATTCTATATATTAGGAGCCACCAATAGAAGGCTGCTTCTGGGTTGTTGCAAGATGCAATCTGTACCATGCAGTACGATCCGGCTCTGGGATTTTGGGTGCTATTTTGAGAGTTGGCAGATCTATGTTCTATTTCTCCTCCTGACTGCAGTGGTTTGTTGCATGAAGGCCACAAAGAGCTCCGAAATTCTGGCTTCTCCAGACCTCTCCACCATCTCCACTGGTCAACCAACCACTGGACATCAAGGAGAATGGCTGATGTTTGCATCTCTCCAATAGAAATCCCGGAATGCTGGTGGTTAAGACAGGCCCAGAATATGCAACTAGCACTGGACTTTACGCGATCATGATTATATATGTATTTAGTTGAATGTCTTAGAATACCTTTTCAATTTTAAATGGAAACGCTAGGTTTTCAGTAATTAAAAACATTGCTTACTCTAATTTAACTATTTCCCAGAACAGGGTGAACTTTATGAAATCAATATTCAAGACTCATGTTTTCAGAATGTGTTAATATGTATTTAGAAAAGACAATGATGGTGTTGGCATTACTGCAGTTCTATTAGTAGCCTTTACAACCAGATGTTCTACATCACAAAAACGGACAACACTATGGTCAGCTGCCCCTCCACACCCATATGGCACATACAGGAATGCTTCCTTATTTTTGCCCCCGGCAAGCTACGAGATGCTAAGGTGCTTTTAAGAACAGGCAGTGTACTCACTTTGGCTCTAAGCCTGAAAGCGAAGATACAAGTAGAATGCACAGCTTATTTCAAAAATATTTTTGAAAAAACTTTTTTAAAATCCTGTCATCTTGGTTTGTTACTGATAAGCATAGGGTTTTTTCCTCTGTGTTGCATTTCAAAGGAAAAGAAAGGTTGCCTTATAGCTCAGCAGCATTATTTCAGTTTACAAGTGTGGTCAGACGATCTAGCGCTGTGACAACCTTTTAATCACTTTAGCTTCTGCTTGCTTTTGTGGAGTAAAAATTAATCAGTTCACCCTCTTCCCTCTTTATTACCTCTGAGATAACATTAGTATTTATTTATTGCTGGCTATTCCTGTAGATTTATTTTTTTTAAAGAAACCCCAGCAGTTGGTAAACACCTGCCATCTGTTTGTTTGCTCTCCTGCATGTTTTAGACAACCCTGGAAGTGGTCATTTGTGTACAGCAGAACAGGAAACATCTGTTAACATAAAGGGCATAAAATCCTAATGGTAATTTAAACAGTTGAACTGCTAGCAGAATCATGGTCAGTTGGCCTCACTGATTCACACACATACTCTAGTTTCAGGGGCAGGTGGAGGTATCCCTGTATTCTTTCTCTATTCATGCTTTCCTGAAATTGTTTAAATAGTTTGTGTGACTGTGCCAAATGGTGAGGCTGTTAATGATCACAAGGGAACTATCAAAAATTCTCACAGGTACCTCAAACTATCAAGACAGACCACTGGATGCGGTCAGTTACCTAGTGGTAGAACAAATATATGAAATAAATATGATTTGAATTTTAAAATTTAAATTGGTTTGATTTTTATGAAAGCATACATACTAAAGTATGCACACTTTATTCCTATTAGAGAATATCCTGGTTGATCTATAATAATAAACAAAGTTGTACATGTATCTGTCAGTGCCAAACTACCAAAACTATGAAAACCAAAATCTGGCATGCAGGCCTGGTATATGCAAGCAATAGAAGGGAACAGCAGAGTTCCAAGGTAACTATTCCACAGCAGATAGTAGGGGAATTTGGTTTGCTGGATATCTATCTAGTTGACTTGGATTTGCATTTTAATCTAAGCCACAGCAATGAGGCAGGAAATTGTTTAAACAGAATTCCATTTTATGTAGCTTAAGTAATGGTCCACGTGAGAAGCTTCAGTGTTGCTTCAGCAAAGGAATAAAACACCATTGCAGTACCCAAGAATATGATGTTTATGGTGCTAAAATGCAGTTTCAAAAATATGCAGAAATAATATAAATGTTCCCTGCTTTCCTAAAACAGTGAATCTGTGATGGTTAAAGGAGGCCACCGAAACAAGCAAAAGATGGGTTGCTTTGCAGGCGACAACATTTTGGTCCTTTACTGGAATGGAGATTTTGCTAGGTGTGGGGTCAGCCTGGTACCTTTCAGATGTCATTGACTAGAACTTCCAGGTAAATGTATCAGTTTTAAAAGAAAAACTGAACATTATGGGAGGACTAACCCAGCTTGTTTGGGATTAACTGGCATCCTGACCAGGAAAAGTCGTGTTATGATGTAAAGAAGCACTTTTAGCATGTTCTTGAGGCCCCAGTTCTGCTGGGATACATTTCAACGCTCTTCGCTCTACCTTCACTCTCTCATTATGATGAATTTTTTAAATTATTAAATATCTTGCCTTTCCTACAAGAAGTCCACGGAAACATTAAAAATCCTCTTCCTCCTCTATGTGTTAGCCTCACAAGAATTTTGTGAGGTAGATTAGGCAGTTAGTGGATGAAATTTGCATGTCAGATCACGCAATGGTAGATGGTTATCACAACTGGAAGTTGGTTACCACAGTGGTTCTAGCAGACAAGCACTGTTTCTGCTTAGTGCTGTGGTTTTGTCCCCACCTAGTCCTACCTCCCCCTTCTGGCACACATCCCACATGCCCCCCCCCCCCCCCCCCCGTCTAGGTAGGCAGTCTATTTGCGATTCCTCTGCTGAGTGCTCTCCATTTGCTCCCCATAGCTGATCAATATCCTTTCCATTGTTTGTTCCCATTGAAAACAATTATTCCTGCTGTGTTGCCCTGTGCTTCCCTACCTTTCACTTTCCTCACTTCTGTTCAGCTGTCTGCATCAGCCTGGAGAAGCTTTTCCACCCCGACAGCCCTGTTTCTGGCACCTCCTGTACAATCCATGGCTTGACTTTCTTCTAACCCAGCCATGGCTACCTAACTCACCACTTGTCACTAGCACCTTATACTCTCCCTTCTCCTTCTTATTTATTTTATTTATTAAAACATTTTTATGCCGCCCCATTCGCCGAAGCCTCGGGGTGGCTTACAATAATCTTCTTCGCTCCGTTTCCATTCATCTACCATACAGTTGATGATGATTAACACCTTCATACCCCATCCCCCACAGCGGCTTTTGATCCTTGCCCCTTTCTGTTCTCTCCATCATCTGGCACCCAAGCTTCTCTTGCTCTCTCCTGTCCTCCCACTTTGACTCCCATCTGGGCTAGGAAAGTGGGTGAAGCTTAGGATTAACTCTTCCCCTTCTAAGTCTGGCTCCACTTAGCACTGGGCTTCTTTTACTTTTCCCATACTTTGCATCCCTGCACCTTGAGCAGTTCTCCTATCTATCTGTCTCCAGTTTTGTGTTACAAATTTTAGAGTAACTTATTACTGATTACTAATTAAATGCAGCTGTGATTGTTGTACTATCTCAGAGTCATGTTCTGCATGCAATATTAAAGACAATGCCTTGTTCATGTTCTTCTTAATGTATGTCTCTACAAGGAAATAAAACAATGTTCTGTTTTCTTCTGTTAGCTAACTACTCAAATATTACTGCTTATAACTTATGCTCCTCATAATTACGCAAGTATTACTTTTTATAAGAAGAGAAATCCTGTCAGAGCAAAGCAAGCAGCAAGGTAAGTGTTGTTAGGCTGACATTGGGAACAGATATTGGATAACTGGAATGATTTGCAATCTTTTTCTTGGAACTTTGCAATATTCTTGAACCACTAACAGCTCCTTGTGGTAGGGAGAAACCCTGGAACAGACTGTTGTGTCTTATTATGGTTGATAATAAATCACAGCAGTTTGTCACCATGACAGAGTCCAAAAAACAAGACCAAAAAAAAGTTGCTTGCTGAGTTGTGCAAAATGTAAGAAGGAAAGCTCTCACAGACTGTGTAATAGCTCTCAAATTAAAACTTTAGAGTGGGGGAGAGAGCTACAAACCTTGAGAAGATAGGAAGACCCATCCACTTTTGCTTTCCCAACCAGCTGGCAAGTCAGTTCAAAATACATTGACTGTTGGATGTGAGATAGTTTTGCTGATGGTGCAGAGTTCTGAAAGTTACTTGCCACCCAAATGCGCAGGTTTTCCACGGTTTTTTTGTCTTCATCTGTAAAGGTGAATAATTTGCTGGTTGATCGAGGAGTCAGTGGTGCTCCTATGGTGCCATCAAATGTAAGTGCTGCAAATCCACAATTGGAAAGCCCTTGAAGTTGGCCATTAAACTCACTGACCTAGATGGCAATAGGAAAAAAAAAAACCCACCAAAATGCCATAAGGAAACATAAGCTGTTACTGTTCCTTGTAGTCTTCTAAAAGAAAGGAGAGGGGGAGGGGACTATACACCTGAAAGGAATATAATAAATTACAAAATTACACTCACACAATGGTTTAGGAAGATACACTCAAAGATCAATTATTATTTGAACTTAGTTGAACATTCCTGAATTGGAAAAAGCCTGACTCTTGACTGTCAACATATGGAATTGACAAAGATGCTTTGTTAGTTTATATGTTGCAAGTGGATCAACTGGATGCAAGTCAGAAATTAATCTTTAACTAACTTAGCCCTGATTCTAAAATGCTACCTCATATTACAGTTTGCTCAAGATCCAGACTACCCTCCCCTGAGCACAATGCAAAACTTGGACGAACTGCACCCAAGCAGATGGGTGCCAAAGCACAGACCTCATCAGGTTGCACAAGGTGGCAGTGCCTGCATTAGGTTGCAGTCCTACACAAACTTGCCTGTGAGTAAGCTGCCTGGAATACAGTGAGATTTACTGCCAAGTAAAAATATGTAAGATTGTAATATTAGATATGACTTCTGCTATAATAATCAATTGATAGGAGAAAAAAATCAATTTGTGACTTCTTGCAAAGGTACCTGGGATTCAGGGAAATCTCAACACTAAATACTTTTTAGGAGAAATAAAAATTTCTCCCTTACTTCCAGTCTCTGATGCAGTGAAAAAGTCTCTCCAACGAATACTGTAAAACTGCAATAAATGGGTAGCCTTTAGTTCTTCAGCTGACTTCAGCAAAATATTCTATTACAGCTCACAAGTGTATATTAAGCAAAGAGGATGCTCAGAAAAGCAGGAGGTCTCATTTATCATCTCCCACAAATGGCTCACCCTTTCCCCTGCTACCTCTTGCTTAAAGATCTTCAAAGAACAACTGGGTGGAGCCCACCTCCCTTGCTCTTTTATCAAATACCTCCTCAAAATCCATCTATTTCTGGCTCAGTCCCCACTGCCGAACTGCAATCTTATTTATCACATGGGTATCTTGCTTTTTTTTCCTTCAAGAAACCCAAAGTAACTTAACATTTTATCCTCAAAATAACCTTGTAATATACATTAGGCTGAGAGTCAATCACTGGCTCAAAGTTACCTATTGAACTTCATAGTGGAGTGAGGACTTGAACCTGGATGTCCTGAGTCCCAGTCCAACACCAAACCTTACTAGCTCATAGGGTTCTCTTTCTCCAAACCCCCTGCTATGAAGGGAGACCAAGGAATGACTTAAGTTTACTCTGTTGACAGGAAGCCTATATCTGCATAGTTTAAACCATACACACTGTTTCCATATCTATCTACTTGTTTTCTTGCTGCACTAAGGTCAAATCAGCATCACCCACAACAGCATAATGTGAATCCTCTGTACTGACTGAAAAAAAAGCAATCCAGCTTCTTGTATGTGTATGTATTTTCTACATTGAATCACAACTCTCCTTATGTGTGCTGGAGGCCACAAGGGAAAACCCATGAGAATCATCATATGAACATTCCGCAGAAGTAAAAATGTCAACTTTTAAAAAGTTTATTTGGGATTGTTAAAACGATTTTGAAAATAAAAGAGCAGGTATTAGTATTACTTAAGTCAATGGCACACTGTGATTAAAAAGACAGGCCACGTTTGCATGGAATTGTACCTACTGAACATGTCCACCTATGAAGACTATGTGTTCAACATTTATGAGTCTGTCTCCCCACTTCAAAGATATTGCAGAAATTGTTCCAGAAGAGAACTAAAACAGATTTTCTTCCCAACCTAGTTCCCCAGATGTGTTGGAAAACATCACCAGCCAGCATGGCCATTGGCCAAACCCAGAAAACCTTTGGGTTCAGGCACATTCCCTAGAAAAGAAAGCCAAAAAGTATGTCTGTGTTTTAATTAAAAAAAGACTAAGAGAGAGAACTTTGCAGGAGCCTGTAAAATCAGTCTCATTAGCAGATAGTTTTATTTATTTATTTTTCAATTTATATCCTGCCTTTTTCCTACAAATGGCTCAAGGCAGCTTACATCTCCTCCTCCATCTTATCCCCACAACAACAACCCTGTGAGGTAGGTTGGGCTGAGAGTCTGTGACTGGCCCAAAGTCACCCAGTTGGCTCCATGGCTGAGCAGGGACTAGAACCCAGATCGTCCGAGTCCTAGTCCCATGCTCTTAACCACTACACCACACACTGGCTCTCCAGCTCAGGCAGCTCAGGGCATGCAGGTCTATGAAGAGATAGCTGGATACCACAGCTGAGACACATTGGAAAACAGAAAGGCTCAGTTGTATGACCCAGCAGGACATTTCTTAAATACGAGTACATTCTTAAATTGGAAAACAGAAACAGATCTGGGATTTCCCAGTAAACTTCTCAATGGTGGCACACCTAAAGTAATGAAAGGAACCTTGAAAGGAATTCCAGATTTAGTCTATTTTGTCATAATTCATCTTTAGTAGAATTGAGGCTAACAGTTCAGGCTACAGTGCCACAAAAGATTACTGAAAGAAATTTAAGTCTCATCTCATGTTTGCTATAAAGCACAATTTTGTTAATTATGACTATGTGGTCATGCAAAAGCAAGTAACTTTACTGATACTTGGTGTTTACATAAAACTTTGACTATCCAAAACACCTCACATCCATTCTCCCAGTAGCCCTGTAATACTGGCAATAGTTATTATTACACTGCATTTCTATCCTGCCTTCTCCCCTCTTGTGAGGAACTGCAAGTGGCTTATAAAGCTCCATTTTTATCCTCACAACAATCTGTATGGCAGGTTAGGCTGAGAGAGTGAATGACTGGCCGAAATTCACCCAGTGAGTTTCACAGCTGAGTGAAACTCACCTAGATTTTCCAGTTTCCCAGTCTAACATTCTAACTACCACACCAATTGTATGGGGCAAGAGAAAGAGCAGAGCTCTGGACTTGGGAGTGGATCTTCACCTAATGTTGCACGATTGTAGCTGGAATAATATTGAATGAGTAACTTCCCAGCTCATACTGTAATCCACCACGTGACACTTCATGCCTTCTGTTTTAGATGTCCGGGATGGTGCCAGAGGATACCCACCTGTATTAATCAACCTATGTAGTAGAATGACCATGCTCAGGAGCAGAGCACATGCAAAGCCCCAAGTCCAGTGCCTGACACTGCCAAGCAGGGCAGACTGAGTCCTGCTTGAAACCACGGGGCTGGTCAGTGCATCCAATACTGAGCTAGATGGACTGACTGATAAGGCCATTTGCTATGTAGAGAATGAACTCTCACAGAAAGGGTCGCTCACACAACCAAAGCGGCTCAGTAGATCACAAGAAACTGAGCACATGATGAAGGAAGTGCTGTTGCAAAGACATTGGTGATGACGCAGTGAGTTAAGAGGTGAGTTGAGTGAGGCCTACTCTAATCTCGATGCTGAGCCACTCACATTGATCAGATGCCTAGGGCTGGTTCTAATTTAGGTGTCCCACAGTCTGTGTTTGTGTGGGCTCCGAAGGATGGTGGAGGACAGGAGAGCCTGGAGGAATGTTGTCCATAGGGTCGTGATGGGTCGGGTACGACTTTGCGACTAGCAACAACAACTAATAGGTCTGCGTATGTGTGCATCTGTAGAGCAAAGCCTTGTATTATATGTGCAATGCCAAGATAATATAAGATGACTTTTTTCTATCCTGGATGATTTTAATATAAGACCAAAAAGACAATGGGTGGAATCCTATTAATTCATGCTATGCATGCAGCAGCTTCTATCAACTGAATCTGTGTGTGTGTGTGTGTGTGTGTGTGTGTGTGTGTGTGTGTGTGTGTGTGTGTGTTGAGGGACAGAAAATTCCTTCTCCTCACTCTAAAAATCTCTGGAGGATTTGGGGACCTCTGGAGCAGCTTTTCGGATAGCAGATGGGCTGCAAGGAGAGTAGAAAGTCTCACGGCCGAAGCAAATGATGGATTCTGCCCAAGGTAGGCTTATTACCTTTTCATACAAGGAAGAGTGCTATGAATCAAATTCAGCAAAGTTTTCTTGTTAGATTAGGGTTATTAACACACTTCCATAAGATTTATTTATCAGGATGTATTATGTACTTTTAAAAATAGAATATTAGATTATGGCCTTAAGTTCTATCAAAGTATTTAAAATTCTATACATTTATGAGACTGCTTGTTCTTTATTTATTGTTTGCGGTGTGTGATAACAGGATAAGATGACATTCTATTGCAGAAAGGGTTTCTGCACGGCAAGTACATGAATTAATTGAAACAATGGGTGCGTATTTCACATGTAACTTTTAGGCACTGATAAGCAGGAAAATTATAATTTACTTAGGCAGCTTAAAACTACAATGTTTAAGTAGCTTAATTAAACTTTTACTATTCTAAATTTGCCTGCCAATTGAACCTTGACCACAGTTAAATTGGATTTCCAGATAAATGGGTTCACATTACACCACTGTAAGTGTTGAGAAGTGGACAAAGCCCCATGCAACTGAGAAATGGCAAACATATTTCCTTATTAAGGGGAAAAATAGATACCTTGGGGTAATTTGGGGATCAGTTATTTTGCAAATATTTTGCTCCTATCAGGTTTTGTTCAAATCGTACATGCCTATGAAGAATAATGAACAGAAAAATGAAGTGCTGCACCTTGATGAAGAGTAATCTGGTTCTCATGACATAAAAACCCATTGCGAGTAACTAGCCAGGATAGTTGCCCTGTTGCCTGAACCCAGACTTTTCTCCCACAAGGTGGCTCATTTTTCAGTAAGAAGTCATGTTGCATGAGTAACGAAAAATGGTTAAAGCCATTTAGTGGTATTCAATGTTAATCCAATTTAAGTTCCATTCACATCAATGGGTCTACTATAAAACAACATTGGACACAATCCAAAGAACCCACAAATTAAATAGGTAGGACAGAGCAATAACCAAGGAAAGGGAAAGGCAAGATTCCTCCAAATTCATTATGTGAAGGTCTGTCTTTTTTAATGGCATAAAAGCACCCATAGGAAAAAGTCTAGAAACAGAATACTTAACAGAAATATTCCAGTGCACAGTAGTGGTTAAGAATGTGAGCCTGGCACTCAGGCAATCTGGGTTCTAGTCCCCGCTTGGCCATGGAGCTCACTGGGTGATTTTGGGCCATTCACAGAATTTCAGCCCAACCTAACTCACAGGGTTGTTGTGGGGATAAGATTGAGAGCAGTAGAAGAATCGTGTAAACCTCTTTGAGTTCCTTATAAGGAAAAAGCAGGGTATAAATCAAATTAATTAACAGAAACAGGTGAGCCACCTTCTCTGTTAGTATATCATCAGTAACTCCGTATCACACACAAATACATCCCTTCAAAGTAAAGACAGAGAAATCAAAGAGGGTATATTAAAAGATCTTCAGCTGAGCTGGTTCTCAAGGGTACTATGAGATGGGAAACAAAGGTGTGTACTCACATATCTTCCCTCGCCTAACCAAGAATGGCAGCTCCTTATACATATGGAATTCCATGTCACTAAGACAGATAAGAAGATTGCCTGCTCTTTGCATTTTGAATATGCTTCAATGCCATTTCCTCTCTGCAATTAACAGCAAATGTACCAAGATTACCTTTATTCTGTGAAAGCGAACTATGTCACCATTTCTGTAGACTTCTGGAAGGGCATTTTTGTTCGCATTAAACAATGTGCATATCAATTTGGCATTGGATTGGTCCACAATGGTTATCACTGAACAAAAGTCTGTAAAAAATTTAACAAGTGAAAAAGAAGGCAGCATATTTCTAACTGTAGGAATTATTACATCCATAATAATTTTAAATCTTCCTTTTCCTGAAGTCAGCTAACTGATATTAAAATAAATACACAGACTAGATCATAAATTCCCATATGCCTTTAGTAAAGCAATACAATTTCCCGAGAAGAGCTATGAGTCTGATACTCTGCAGCTTTACATCTACCTGTTACAATTCATGAGTCCTCAGTTATCTTACCTGAGATCCTGACACGCAGACAGATGTGAACTGGGCTGAAACTGCTATAAAATTACTAAAATGATACCTTAACATTGAAGAGGAAATATTTCAGAAGAATTCAAGCTAAAGACAGATAAGGTAGAAAATTCAATGGCAAGCCAACTGCGCATCAAGCCTTGACATGATCACTCTGCTCCATGACATGAGGTAAGAATGATGATGTTACGGCATGCAGAAATTCACTTTAATTTTCAGTGGCCATGTTTGGACATCACACAGGACAGTCTGTTCGGGATGAGAAACACACTGGTGCACAGTCCCCAACTGCTCCAGCTTGGCACCAGCAATAAGCAGGAATGCATAAAGAAATTACAGAACATCCATCCAAAGTTTATCGGGACATCTAAACCAGAGATTTTGGATTGTCTCTCCCTGAACAATGCAGAGTCAGAACCAAGCTTTGCTGTTGGATCATAACTATGGCCTGTTTAGTGACAGAAAACCTAGAATTCCTGGTTCAGACACCACAACAAACAAACCATAGATGGAGAGCTGAGGTTTTTTTAAAGTGTCCTCTCTTGCAGGAGTGGGCAACCAGAAGCAATACTGATCTAGTACAGCTGATGCTGGTCAGAACTATAGGTTTCTAGAAACAGATATAGAACTAATGATGAAGGACGGGGTGAAGGAACCTATGCCATTCCAAACTCATAGTCAAATTCTTCCATGTTTTGGTATTTCCTGACTTTTGACAATTCAGACTGCAATCTGATGTACATTAAGCTGGGAGTAAGGCACACTGAACACGATGGGAATTATTCATGTATACATATGACTATGTTGAAGTTAAAGGTTTATTTTCACCACCTTCTAGATCAACCTTGCCCAGCTTGGCATTTCCAGACATCTTAAACTGCAAGATGTCTTGGCCATTAGCCATGCTGGCTGGGAATTAGAGAAATACCAGTGCAACATATTATTATTATTATTATTATTATTATTATTATTATTATTAT